GTTGTGTTAACACGTTGTATGCATGTGTGTGTTAACGTGTTGTGTACCTGTGAGTGTTGTGTTAATGTGTTGTGTTAATATGTTGTGTACATGTGGCTTGTGTTAACATGTGTACATGTGAGTGTTGTGTTAATGTGTTGTGTAAATGTGTGTTGCGTTAACATGTTGTGTATGTGCATTGTGTAATGGCTTAACATGTTTCATACTTGTGTGTTGTGTTAACGTGGTGCACCTGTGTTTTAAGTTAATGTGTTGTGTACGTATGTATTTTGTTAACATGTACCTGTGTGTTAAGGTGTTGTGGTAAGGTGTTGTGTACCTGTGTGTTGTGTATTTGTCTGTTGTGTGTTATGTACCTGTGTGTTGTATTGACAGGTTGTGTACTTGTGTTTTTGTGTAAGATGTTGTGTACCTGTATATTGTATAACCATGTGTACCTGTGTGTTGTGTTAGCATGTTCTGTACATGTGTGCTTTTAACATGTTGTGTACTTGTGTGTTGTGTTAATGCGTTGTGATCCTGTGTGTTGTGGTAACATGTTGTGTTAAGGTATGAGTGTACATGTGTGTTGTGTATTTGTCTGTTAGCATGCTGTGTACTTGTATGTTGTGTTAACATGTTGTGTACTTGTGCGCTGTACTTGTGTGTTGTATTGACAGGTTGTGTACTTGTGTTTTTGTGAAAGATATTGTGTACCTGTGTGTTGTATAAACATGTGCACCTGTGTGGTGTTAACATGTTGTGTACCTATGTGTTGTGTTAATGTTTTACGTAACTGTGTGTTAACGTGCTGTGTATGTGCGTGTTGTGTTAAGGTGTGTTGTGTTAACATGTTGTGTTAAGGTGTTGTGTACTTGTGTGTTATGTTAGCATTGTGTTCTTGGGTATATGTGTGTTTTGTACCTGTGTGTTGTGTTAACGTGTTGTGTAACTATGTGTTGCATTAATGTGTTGTGCACAGTATTTATAAGTTGTGTTCACGTGTTGTGTACAGTCCTTGTTGTTTGTTGTGTTAAGGTGTTGTGTACCTGTGTGTTGTGTATTTGTCTTGTGTGTTTGTCTGTTAGCATGTTGTGTACTTGTGTGTTGTGTTAACATGTGTACATGTGTGCTGTGTTAACATGTTGCGTGCTTGTGTGTTGTGTTAATATGTTGTGTACATTTGTGTTGTGTTAACATGTGATGTTTTTATGTGTTATGTTCTTGTGTGTTGTGGTAACATGTTGTGTACCTGTGTGTTGTGTTAATGTGTTGTGTACCTATGTATTGTGTATTTGTCTGTTGGCATGTTGTGTACATGTGTGTTGTGTTAACATGTTGTGTTTTTATGTGTTGTGTACCTGTGTGTTGTTTTAACGTGTTGTGTACCTGTGTGCTGTCTAAATGTGTTGTGTACATGTGTGTTGTGTTAACATGTTGTGTACTTGTGTTTTGTGTTAACATTGTGTACCTACAGTATGTGCTTTGCTAACTTTGTGTACTTGTGTTTTGTGTTAACTTTGTGTACTTGTGTGTTGTG